TTTTTTCTGTCTTTTTTCGTTTTTACCGGTACCAGGGATCGAACTCACGACTGCCTGCTTGCAAGGCAGGCACTTATGCCGCTGAGCTAAATCCCCAGCCCCTCCTGTTTGGATCTTGAGCCTCTTAATCTGTCATCTCATGGCATGGCCCATGCTGTTTAGACCTACTGTGTGAGTTACTTTTCTGTTCTAGGACAAAATATTTGATGTGTACGAGTTAGAAACAAAAAAGTTTATTTTGACTCACAGCTCCGGGGGTGTCATTCATGATGGACTGGCTCCACTGGTGAAGCGTCTTGGTAGGTAGAAGACAGCTGCTCTCTACACAGCAACAAGAAAGCACAGCACAGGTGAAGAACCACAAAGGAAGAAGCCAGGGACCAGACACAGTCCCCAAGTCAGACTTCTGTGGTCGTCCAGACACACCCACAGGTGTGCCTTACTAATTTCCTAGGCGTCTCCCGCGCCATTCAAATTGAGAGTCAAGATTAAGCATCACACCTCTTGTCCCGCACTTCCTCGCTGCTCCTCTCGCTCGTCTTCCTGTTGGCATTTTGGGGCAGGCAGCCGAGCCTGGTGTGTTGGGACTCCTCGGGCTGAGGCTTCTGCCCTCAAACCCTGGTAACAGGTACTCAGGTGGGAGAGTGAAGGGCTGAATGCTCATTGACTGGATGACCAAACTGGACGTGTGAGCAGACGATGAGGAAGCAATGAATGGGGATGGACACAAGCAGGTGTAAAGGTGTGGGCGGCACATGGGATAGGCCCTGCCAGCATGGGGTTGGTAATGAAATACCCTCCTCTGCTGTCCTTGCTCTTCCGGGCTGCTCATCTAGACCGACCAGGGTCAACAACTGGCTCTGTGTTTATCAGCACATGCAGGGTTTAGGCAGGAGGTAGGAGAGGATGGCAAATGAGCTGAACTTGGCAATTTAGCCACTCAGTGAAAACCTGTCTCATAAATAAAAAATAAACAGGCTGAGCGTGTAGCTCAGTGTGAAAGTCTTTAGGTTCAATCTCCAATAGAAACAAAACAAAACACAAGCAGCACCCATTCGGAGGCTGCTTTTCCGAGGCAGCCTTGTGCTGGGCTTTGCTGACACATCTCTGAATCAGGGCAGCTGCTCTGCAGGGTGGATTGTCACTCAGAGGGCACCGAAGTCCACACCATCTTGTAACTGGCCCAGGATTGCACAGTAACCACTAAGCAGAGCTGGCAGTCAACCCAGGCTAGTCTGATCCCACACCGAGACTCCTTAACCAGTTTCTCAAGCTTGGATCCTTACATTTTTACCATGTTCACTTACCATCTGGACTACTATATATGAAATGCTTTCTTTTTTTTTTTAACTGACATCCTTTTATCACCACGTGCATTTCCTTTAAAGGACAACTGACCTTCAATCATCTGTCAGTAAAATGAAAGAAATATTTTAAAATGTTAAATGAATAAAGTATAAATTGTCAATAATAATTTAAAAAATAGGGTAACTATATTCCTACAAGGAATGAACACAAGTGTCCTTTGCCAAGAAACAAAGATAATTTTGAAAACAGAGACAAAGGAAATAAACAGGCCGGATGCTATTATCAGCTGAAGCCCATTTTCTTATTGTTCAAAATGGAAATCAGCAAGGCTTGGAGATCTGTTAAAGATAAAGGAGAGGGCTGGGGTCTTACTCAGTGGTGGAGCCTGAGCCCATACCTGACAGGCCCTGGGCTTTATTCCAGCCCTGGAAAATTAAAAAATCCAGATATAGTAGACTTTGAGACTGCCTGTGAGTACTACTGAAGGCTCATAAGATAATGGTCCGAGCAGCTGTCTTATGATTTGACTCAGTGCTATTTAATCTTGTGCCTCTGCACCTGGCCACACTTCTCTTGCTCCTCTGAACACCAGCCACGAGAAGCCCCGGTGATCTCCGCAGCCTTACACCTTGAGGAGCTCCACTTCTGTGCAGCAAAAGCTCATGTTATGGAAAATTCTAGGGTGAATTTATGAAGCCAGAAACGCAACTCCTGGGACTGACATTTGATCTAGTGCCTGGGAACAGGCCAAAGGATCAGTAGCTTCAGACAACCAAAACTCTTTCTAAGGACACGTTGAAGTTATCAGGTAGAGGCCAGGGGTGTAGCTCAATGTCAAAGCACCTGCCTCACAAGCATGAGGTCATGAGTTCAATTCCTGCTACCAAACCAATAAAGTCATCGGGTGAGGGGGGCCAAGCTTTCATGGTAAGCAACTGCTTAGCATGTAAGGGTTCCATCTCCAGAACTGTCCCAAAATAAATATATAAATGAAATAAAAAATAAAATAAAAAGTCATAATATAGAGCTCTGAGAATATTGATAGTTTATTAGAGGGAAATATTCATACTAATGGCACAGAATGGACACTGGCAATTTGGGGAAGCAACATAAAAAGAGCCTTTTAAAAATTATTATTGCTATGTTGGAACTTAGGACTCTGGGAAGCCAAGCCAGCACTTCCCCTCCCTGGTAAGCGGAGGCAGGGTGGCAGACTGCAGCCCTTCCAGGGGAAGAACCAGCAGTGTCTCCTGAGATCCACGCCATGTTGGAACTGAGGACGCTGTGAAAACAAATGACCATCCTGCCTCCCTGCTAAGCAATAGTGAACCTACTGCTACATGGCCTAGAGTCAAATATCCCACTTCCCCTATCCTCCTTCTCCTCCTCCTCCCCGCCCATTAGCAAGTGGGAACCAGAAATCTGAGCATCTCCTGGGAGGTTGACCATAGCAAATAAGGGGGACTTCCTTCTCCCATTTCTTTGAAGGCAAATATTTTTATTACTGTTTTGCTCTTTTCTGATTAATGGTACTGCTCTATTCAATATTCTGTTTTGATAAGTTCTATAGTGTTCTATATTTCATCTCATTTTGATATACGGGATTGAAAGAACAAATATTATAAAGTTAACAAAATATATTGTGGTACCTATTACTGTTATCCCGGTAACCTGCTGTGAAGTTCTGTACCAATTTCACTGTACAATCTTAGTTGGCTTTATTTTGACTTGTTCTGTTGTATACTTTCAAAATAAAAATTTAAAAAAAATTATTATTGCTATTATTTTACAGTTATGGAGCTTCAACCAGGGTGGTCTACCACTAAACTATATTCTTGACTCTTATTTTTAATTTTAATTTTTATTTATTTATTTTTGGTACTGGGGATGGAACTCATGACTGCCACTTGCAAGGCAGGTGTTTATGCTGCTGAACTAAATCCCTGGCCCTCTTATTTTTTATTTTGAGACAATATCAAACTAAGTTGCCCAGGCTAGTCTATGAATTTGTGGTCTTCCTGCCTCAGTCTCTTAAATAGTTTCACCATCACATGCAGCGTTTCCCAACTCCCCAGTGCTGGATTGAACCCAGACCCTCACACCTGCTAGCCAAGCACTGTGTCACTGAGCTGCACCCTGACCTCTAGAGTACAGCCAACTTAGCCAGATAGCCAGAATCACACGTGCAGTAGCTCTGTCACCCACCCTGAGTCTTGCTCCACAGACCTAGAAAAAAGCCAAGGTATGTGACGCACGAGGAGGAAGTGAAGACATCTCTGAAGGCACAGAAACAAAGTCCAGGAGGCATCAAGCTGAGCAAGTGGTAGGCTTTCTTGTGCAGCTTTAAGTTACAGCACCTGGTCGTGGAAGTGATATCGGAGGATCAAATGCAGCTGGTGTTATCGATGCAAGATGGCCTGGAGTGGAAACCAAGTGAGATCTTGCAGCAGCTCAAAACTGGCGCAGAATTTAGGTGGATGAGGGGAGAGGTAGCTAGAGCAGCTTTGGGAAACAGCAGGGGGTTTGAAGTGAATCTGAAGGGTGAACATATTGCCTGTCTTGCTACTTGTTTCCTGTGAGGCGTCCTTAGTTTTAGCACGGCTGTGTCTTTGGTAAGAGCTGGACCGTGGAGGCTGGAGGCATCTCCATCTGCGTCCATCAAAATGCAACTATTGAAATGATGTTTAGACATTAGCCTCGGTGCTGGGCCCTGGGCAGCTGCAGGTGATATGATGACTTTGTGCCTGCTCTCAACAGCTCATGGTCTTGGTGGATAGATGCTAGTCGTGACAAAATAAAGGAACACAAAGCATGGCATAATAGTTAAGACTATGGGCTTGGTATCAAGTAGACCTGCCTGAACTGATTCCTGTTCTGCTTCTTTCTAGTTCTGCAAGTGACTTTACTTTTGCCCAACTCACTTGCTGATTTATAAGATGGGGAAAGCAACAGTAACTATTTCACAGGGTTGTTTGCCAGGGTTAAGTGGACTAATCCAGGTGGAGCACCCAGCATAGAACCTGGGATACTATAAGCATTCCCTAACTCAGAATTGTATCATCAACAAAGTAGAAAATGAAGCAGCACAGAAGGAAAGTAACTAATGAGCAATGAGAGTTTTCCTGGAAGAGGTGGAGGTTTTCCAGCTCATTTTCACTTTTTACTTTTGAGACAGGGTCTAGACAACTTAATGGTTTAGTAAGACATTGTCAAAATACAAAAACAAAAAGAGAACTGGAAGTGTAGCTTAGCATGAAAGCTCTCAGTTCAATCCCCAGTATTGGGGGGGGGGGGAGTTCTGCTTTAACTTTGACAAGGAAAGTAATCTTAGTAATCTGAAGCGTCGTGATGAAAATCAGCTGCTTCTTGGGCTTTGCTATTTCCTTATTCCTGATCAAGTTACCTTATAAAAACTGAGGAGGAAAGCCTCAATGTCAGGGGTTCCAGGGGTCCAGACCAGGCTTGGACACCTGTCCCAAAATGTCAGTCAAGAAACGGAGAAGCAGTGAAGGGCAGGACAGGTGCCTGAATCACAGTGGCTACGCTGGAAAGCACAGAGAAAGGGGCTCAACATCTGTCTTTCAGGAGCTGACAGAAGCCTTGAGATTATATAAAAAAAGGAAGACAAAGGCAAAGACTTGGCAACATAGTTAGTCTTGGTCAAGCCAGGGTCTCCTTGATGTCTCCGGAGGTGGTCCTTATTTATAGTTTGGGGGTGGAGGCAACCCCACTTCCTTGATATGATTGCTCCTGCTGGGGGAGTGACCTCATCTTGGGTGGTCTGTAAGGCCCTGCTTTTCTTGGAATCCGAGGTGATTGCACACTTAGGACAACGACTGGAGAATTCCAGGCATCACTCCAGGGGTTCCGGAAATGGATTTCTGAAAGCTGGCAATTAGGTGTCAGTGCAAATCCTGAAAATTAGTTGCTCTTGTGTTGGTCTTCTTAACCTTGAAAGGGCATGGGATAGTTCAGGTAAAGTTAGGGTAGAAAATCTTGGATTACAAGTTGTTGAGATACTCCTTAGGTGATCAACAATCAAAATCAGCCCCATTTTCCTTCAGAGTTGGAACTGTTCGCCATTTCTTTAATTCATACCTGGCTTGCAATGCTAGGGGTCTACGGTGTGTATAAAGTTGTATATTTCTAAGCCAGCACTCTTTCCTAGAATTTTCTGCAGTGATGGAAGTGTTCCTTATCTATGCTGTGGCTATACAGTGCTTGAAATGTAGCTAGAGACTGAGGAACTGAATATTTTATTTGAATAAACTTAAATAAATTTAAATAATTATATGTAGTTACTATGTTAGACACGGCGATTCTAAAAATTAGAGGCCTGCTGAGAACTGGGCGTGTGGTAGGTTCTCCCCAGATTCAGACTGCAGAAATAAGAGGCAGGAGTGCCTCCCTCCTCCACGGGCCCGGCCTGTGGGATCTGCACTGTTTCAGCAGAGGTAGAGACAGAAACTCTTGCATCATTTTATTTTATTTTATTTCATTTCATTTGGTTTTTGGAGACAGAGTCTCACTATATAGTTCAGACTGACCTTGAACTCACTATGCAGCGCAGGGGTGCAGCAATCGTCCTGCTTCAGTCTCCTGAGTGCTGGGATTATAGGTAAGTTCCACCACTCCTGACCTATTTTAAATTTGTATGTGTGTGTGGTTCTGGGGACTGAACAAACTCACCACCTCACGCTGAGCTACAGGGCCAGCATTTTTTAAAATTTAACTTGGAGTGAGGTCTTGCTAAATTTGTCTAGAGTGGCATCAAACTTATGATCCTTTTGCCTCAACCTCCTGAGTAGGTCAGATGATGGGTCTGTGCCAAGATGCTTGGTTTTGGGCTTTTTTTTTTTGGAGGGAGGTACAGGGAATCTAACCTCGGTGCTGAGCTAAATCTCCAGCCCTCGGCTTGGATTTAGTTGTTATGCATCTGTCTCTCTATGCCTCTCCCATCCATACATACATAGTTGAGTTTACCAAGTTAGATACAGCATATGTATAATATGACACCACTGTATGTAGCTTATTAAAGCATCCCCTCATGATCTGGTTTTTCTGTCACTTACACAAAATTTTAAAACCCCACAGAAAATAGATAAAAATATTTACAAAGCACATATCTGATAAGAAATTACCATTAAGAATAAATTAAAAAATTCTTCTTACTTGACAACAAAAACCAAACAACTCAATTTGAATGCATCAACAAACTTGAATAGGCATTTCTCCACACAGGGTGGGCAGGTGGTCAGTAAATATATGAAAAGATGTCTGCTCACCATCTTGACTATTAGGAAAATGCAAATCAGAACTATGATGAGATTCCACCACTCATCTGTTTGGACGGCTACTGTAGGAAAAGAAAATAATGTCTGTAAGGGTGTGAAGATACTGGAACTCTTATGCATTGTGGATGAGAATGCAAAATCATGCAGTCACTATGAAAATGGTACCAGGAGTCCTCAAAAAATTAAAAACAAAGCAGGGCACAGTGATATATGCATATAATCAGACTACTTGGGAGGCTGAGTCTGGAGGGTCCTGAGTTTAGGTCCAGTCTGCGAAAGAGATCTGTAAGATCCCACCTTAATTAATTAAAGTTAAAAATAGAACTATGATATGGCCTAGCAATTTTACTTCTGTGTATGTAGCCAAACAATTCAAAGCAAAGACTTGCGCAGATATTTATTTACCTAGTATTATTCACCAGAGTCAAAAGGTAAAACAGCCCGAGTGCTGACGGGCAGAAGAGTGGCTAAACAACACGTGTGAGCCAGGTGTGGCGTGCATGCTGCTGGCTCAGGGCTCCTGGAGACTGAGGCAGGAGGATCGGAATTGCCAGCCCCTTGACTTAACAACTCACAGAGAGCCTGACTCAAAATTAAAAATTAAAAAAGAAAAGAAAAGTGCTGAGAATATAGGTCAGTATGAACACTCTGGGTTCATTCCCTTGTACCGGAAAACAGCAACAACATCATTATTCAGGCTTAAAAAGGAAAGAAATTCTGGCCCATGCCAAACCTGGAAGACGTTCTACTAAGTGAAATAAGCCAGGCACAAAAAGATGGCTGTTATATGATTCCCCTTCTCTGCTATATTTGAAATGACTAAGCTCATAGACACAAAATGTAGAATGGTGGTTACAAGGTGTTACAGTTTAGATCTAGATGTTCCTCAAAGCCAGAGCGTGGTGGCACATGCCTGTAACTCCAGCGCTTGGGAGGGTGAGGCAGGGGGATTGGTGTGAGTAGGCCTGCCTGGGCTACACAGTGAGACCCTGTCTCAGAAAAAAATAGAAGGAAGGAAGAAAGGAAGGAAAGAAAGAAAGAAAGCAAGAAAGAAAGAAAGAAAAAAAGAAAGAAAGAAAATAGAAAATAGATGTCCTTCAAGAGCCTCCTGAATTCGGTGGTCAGGATTTTGGTTGTAAGGGAGCTACAGCTGGCTTAATGTTAGGAAGTGAGGCCTGGGGGAGGAAGTGGGTCCCCATCTCTCTTCTGGGCTGCTTGGCTCCTGTCTCTGTTTTCCTGCTGCCATGAGGCTGGCAGCTTGCCTCCGCCATCGGACCCCCCCCCCCATGACTTCCTGCAGCAGCCCTCTGTGGACTGAACACGGGAGCCGGAACTGACCTCTCGTCCTGTGAGTGTGGGTGTCAGGTATTTTGTCCCAGTGACAAGGAAAGTGGCTGAGACACCGGGAGTTAGGGAAGGGAACAAGAGAGACAGTTCAAGGGCACGGGGTTTCGGTTGAGGCTAATGAAACAGAGCTGATGACGGAGTGGGGAGTGGTGGTGCACAGCAGTTCATTCCCTGGAACGGCACAATTCAATTTAATTGTTTTTCCCACAAAAAATTTTTTTTGGTTTTGTTTTTGGAGAAAGGGTTTCACTGTCTAGTTCAGGCTGATCTTGAATGTACTATGTAGCCCAAGTTGGCCTACAACTAACAATGATCCTCTTGCCTCAGCCTCCTAAGTGCCGAGACTACAGACATGTACAGCAAGCCTGGCTAATACATTTTTTTAAAAAGAAGACAAGAAAAATTTTAACACTGCTCCCCTTTTTTTGTGGTAGTGGGATTAAATGCAGTAATACTTCTTGAAAATAAGGTTACTTAGGCTGGCTCTTGCTGACAATTTTATCAACCAAGTTTTCCTTTTTTTTTTCTTTTTTGGTACTGAGGATTGAACTCACAACCTCGCACTTGCCACACAGGCATTTACACCACTGAGCTAAATCCCAGCCACAATGACACTGTTCATATACAGCTTCCTCCATAAATAATGGATGCAAGTCTTGAGGTACAGCTCACAATTACAGTGTAATCACTTTATAAATACTTTGACAAATCTAATCATTCTCTGTGGCAGTAACCTCAGTCAATGTTGTCATTCAGCTCTGCAGTAGAGCTGAAATTCTGAACTGTGTTTGGTCCCGTGCAATCCTCTGGTTTTGGCAGATTTTTTTTTTTTTTTCTGAGTTGATCAGTTTCATAGAGTTCCCAGTATGCTTTTTACAAAAAGTAATTCAATCATAGTAAGAAAGAAAAACAAAATGAAGTTGGACTGACAAAGTCAAGCTACACTAATAGATAGAGGAGGTTGCAAAGTTAATAGCAAGCTGGAAAGTGTCCAATATACCCCTTCTTTGAATGAATACCACCTTTATACTTGCTGAGAAAATATATTCTCGAAAATCTACTTTAAATTATACTGCACTTTTAATTTCAGCTCTTGTGAGTTCATTGCTAGTATACAGAAAAAGCTTTTTAAAAAATATGCTTTTGTACATGAATAAACAGCTTGTGACCTATTCTGTGACCTATTGTCCCATTAGTGGAACAAGATACCCAACACCTGCAATTTAAAGAAGGGTTTTGTTTTGACCCACAGTTTTCAGTGGGTTCAATCCATGGTTAGCTGGCTCCATGGCAGAAATGGCGTAGACAGAGGTCTGGCAGAGGCAGCTAGGAAGCAGAGAAAGAAGGGAGCCAGAGCAAAGTTACACCCTTCCCGGTCAGGATTCGGGAACCTGCCCTCTCTGACCAGGCTCCACCTCTGAACATGAGACATTTGGTGGTAACCTTTAGATTTAAATAATAACATTTAATGCAGTGGATTTTTTTTTTTTTTTTTTTTTTTCAGTGCTGGAGACTAAACTTCACTTGAGCATCTTGTTAATGTGCTATTGGCCATCTGTATTACATTCTTTGGAAAAATAAGTATTTAAATCCGTATTCTAAATCCCACTTTCCTCCCCCAATGCTCTCCTATTCTTTTCTTTTTTTGCAGTATTGGTGATAAAAAGAGGGCCTCAGCACTGACCCATTACTTCACGTACCCTCACACTTTTTGAGGTGAGTCTTGCTAAGTGGCTAAATTGCTCACCTTTCTGAGTAGCTGAGATTACAGATGTGTGCCACTATGCCCAACTCCTCCAAACTTTTTTTTTTACATCGGTACCAGGTATTGTTACGACTGCCTGCTTGCAAGGCAGGCACTTATGCCGCTGAGCTAAATCCCCAGCCCCTCCAAACTTTTTTATATGTCAAGGTATCTAATTTGGTATCATCCTTTTTTGTAATACCTACATAGCTTTCCATTGGTTAGATATTTTACACTTCATTAAGCCAATTTTATATGGTAGGACTTTTTTTTTACTATTTTAATGCCATGACAATGAACATTCTTTTTCTTAATATATGCAAATATTTTATTTTATACATAATAATTGTACATATCTGTAAAATACAGAAAGGCATTTCAATGCAATTATATAAGTTATAAAAGATTAGGGTAAGCTGGCATATCTGTCTGCTGAGATATATATTATTTCTTTGTGTTGGGGCATTCAACATTCTATTTATTAGCTATTTTGGAATATTTGATTAATTATTGTCAACAATAATTGTCCTACTCTGCTAGAGAACATTAGCTATTATTTTTCTTATCTCTGGGTGAACATTTTTATGACTAAATCTTTGAAGATTTCCTTAATTCTGTAAAATAAATTCATGGATATGAACTTCTGTGTGAAAGAATCATCTTTTGTTCAAAGCTCGCTCTTTCTTTCTTTCTTTTCCTCAGCACTTTGGATTGAACCCAAGTTCTCTACATCATTACATCACTAATCTTTTTATTGTTTTATTTTGAAACAGAGTCTTATTCAGTTGCCAGGCTGAACTGAGACTTTCGATCATCCTGCCTCGGCCTCGCAGCTTTCAGAGCCTTTCAAGCCACAGCACTGCATGCCTCTGGGAGCAGGAGTGCTGCTTTCCTGGCTCCCTCATGGTAAGAGCAGGTGATGTGTGAGTTTAGTGCTCAAAAACACACTTTATGCCTTATGCCCTATAAATAAAATGACATCCTTTATCTTTGGATTTAAATTGCCTTAGTCAGAGTAGCCTGGCGGGTGGGTGCTATCCTCGTGACTGTTACCAAACACTGCTAATGTTACTAAGTGAATAACAGCCGCAAAATGAGACAGGGAGCTGGATCGTCTTCGTTTCCAGCCAAGCGTTTAGTCTGTTTGTAACTGCCTGGCGGAACAGCTGGCTGGTTTCCAATTAGCAAACCAGATGAATAGTGCTCATTTGAAATCTTTGTTTGTTCCTAATAAATCTAATGTTTTCATAATTTGATTTCTAACTGAACATAGATTTGAAGAACCATAGTTTGCCTGCTAGTTTCTGACACTTCCTGGACATGATTCACAGCATTGTTATTGAAGACTCGTTTCTGAAGATGCCTTGGGTGTCTGCCTCCTCTGACACATGATCTTCCACAAGGAAGACTTGTATAGACCTGGCAGTGACATCTCAGTGAAAATGGCTCTTTCTTTTCTTCTGCTGACATAACATTTATGTTATTTATTTGCATCGCTTGTCACTAATGGATGAAGTAGTTCTCAGAAGATGGCATAACACAGTGGTCTAAATTCCTAGATTCAATACTCTGATTTTGCTTCAAGTCGTATAAATCTTTCATTCTGTTAAAATTCCTAGATCCAGACAGACTTGGTTCTACCATGTGCTAGTTGTTTGACTCTGGGCAAGCTGTCAAATCTTGCTATGTTTGACATTCTCATTTATAAAGAGGCATGATAATAATAACTTTCGCTTAGGATTTTTTTTATGAGGATTAAACAAATGTAAAAATGCTTAACAAGTCCCACAAAATTAGTCTCTCTGCAGATATTAGCTGTCATATTTGTTGCTATTGTTTTCATCATTGTCAGTGCCTTTGGGACCTCCCTGTGACAACTGGCAGTCGAACATCTGAGAATGCAACTGAGGCACGGTGGTGCACTTCTGTAATTCCAGTTCTCTGAGAGCGAAGGTCATAAACTTGGGCCCTGTGTAGTCAACTCAGCAAGTTAGCAAGACTCTATTTAACAATAAAAATATTGAGGATGTAGCTCAATGCAAAGGCCTTGAGTTTAATCTGAGAGAGAGAGAGAGAGAGAGAGAGAGAGACAGAGACAGACAGAGAGAGAGAGAAAAGAGTCAGAGACACAGAGACAGGTTATGGATGTGCGAGCTATACCAAAATAAAACCTCTAATTCTGCTAATCATCTCATTCTGGGTTCTAGTCTCCCTAGACCAGGGACAGCCGAACCACTGAACTTGTTTTGAGCATATTCAGGACTTCTAATTCCTTCAGGGGATGTACTTTATCAACCCCTACTCTCTGTGTAAGTTGACAGAAGGAGAGCTCAATAGGTGGCCTTAAATACACTCTGATGCATTCCCGATTCTCAATAAATACCTGTTGAATATTGACCAAGCATTTAGCTGTTCATGGTTTGGGGCACAAAGCTTACATTTCACATATTCCTTTCTATTTTGATTGACTTCCTCCTTTTTTTGAAAGTATTCTGACCAAGTGTTCTGGAGTGGTCACCCTAGACGGTTCTCCTTTCCATGGGTGATTATGCTGAGCTTGTGGCTCCGACATGGCCAGTAGTTGGTCCCTGGAGCCCTTCTTCTAGGGAAGAATTCTTCCTTGACTCTGCCAGCTCTAGGGGCAGCAGGCAGCTTTGCCATTCCTTGGTTTACAGGTACATCCCTTCAGTCGCTGCCTCTACTGTCACAGGGCCTTCTCCCTTGTGTCTGTGTTCACATTGCCCCGTCATGTGTCCATCCCATCCTGTGATAAGGTGATGTGTGTGCTGTTGTTTTGGGATGAGATTGACAGAGACTATGGAAGGAGGTGACAGTTCCAACCGGATTCAGAAGAATCATCCGTGGAGAGCCAGGACACTGGTAGCCAGCATCCTTTGGTGGGAAGGAGCTGGCACGGGGCTCCATCCTTTCCTGAAAAGGTAGATCCCTCCCTCTGTACCCTGTTCTTTTTTTTTTTCTTTTTCCTTTTTATCGGTACCGGGAATCGAACTCATGACTGCATGCTTGCAAGGCAGGCGCTTATGCCGCTGAGCTAAATCCCCAGCCCCTTGTACCCTGTTCTTTCATGGGGCAATGAGAGCTCAGGGCTACTCAAGTGTTCAGTTTTTTAAGAAAGGTCAGAAATCTAGAGTGTAAAAACATAAAGTCTCCCAATTTTTAAGTGTAAATAAGAAATTTATTTTTTTTTTTTTGTTTTGTTTTGGAGATAGGGTTCAAGCTGGCATTGAACTCACTAAGTAGCCCAGACGGGCCTCAAACTCATAGTGATCCTCCTGCCTCAGCTTTCCAAAGGCTGGTATTACAGGCACGTGTCTCCATGCCCAGTTAATAATAAATTCATTTTAAGAGGGCTGTCCCACATGAGCTGTGGTCTTCAGTAGAGGAATGTGGCCAGAGCCTGGCAGGTGGGGACCTGAGGATATATACGCCCAGTCTCTTTCCTCCTAGGCTCTCCTCTGCCAGTTTAGACCCACTCATAAGGAAGAGGGCAAGGATCAATCCCTGTGGGTAAATCTGTACTGGTCAGCCTCCTGACACAGGAAGCAGGATAGTGGAGGTAGAATGGAACTGAATGTGAAAAATAAAATGTACTCAGCAACTCTAACTGTCCTCTGCTATAAGGTGGAACTTACTAACAGTCCAGACAATGGAATGCATTACCTGATAGAAGAGAATTGTGTTTGTAGACAACCTGGGGATGGCAGGATCAGATTCCAACTGGGCACTGGAGATGCCCATTAAAAGATTCTCAGAGAATAAACAGTTTCATGAAACCTGCCGCTGCGAGCTGTCCTTTTGCTGTATCTTGAAGTGGGAAAATGGTAATAATAAAAACAACCACCAACACCACTGTACTTGCTAACATGTAACACAATAGAATGTATGTCTCACGAGAGAGGGACACTGGTAAAAGCCAAAGCCTGTCAGTCTTCCTCTTTGTTGATTTCAGACCTACGTGCAAAGATGTGCTCAGGCAATTTGCCTGTAACATCTTATATATTTTCATAACAACCCTATGAAGTTGACACTTTTACTGATCCCATTTTACAGATGAGTAAACTGCAGCTTAGGAGAATGTTCAATAACTTGCTGGAGGTCACACTAATAGAAAGTAGATAAACAGTGCATGGTGGTGCATACCTGTCATCCCAGCACTTAGGAGACTGAGGTGGGAGGATCATGTGAGTGAGTATAAGGCCAGCCTGGACCTCATAGCACAGGCCTGTCTAAAAAAAAAGGCAGATTTGGGGTTTGAACCCAGGTGTCTGCAATGGGTTGAGGAAACCTGAAAGCCAGGGGACTGTACTGGTCTTGCACTGTCAGAGCAGAACCCTAGCAATAGCACTCTGTAAGAGTGGAACCCAGAGTTTGCTGGGCAGCTCTCCTTGGTGTGTGGGAGGCTCCTGGTGCTTCTAGAGCAGTTGGATTGCCAGTTTCAGTTCTTCTCCACAGTGCTTAGGCTCCATCAGCTTCTTAGTGACCACACAAACAGAGCCGTGCCATCCAGCTGGAGATCTAAGTGCTAGAAATAATAAGGCTGAGGTTCTGCCTAGAACAAGAATTTTCATGAGAGAGAAGACACCGGTGACTGACAAGCCTGCCAATCTTCCTCTTCACTGATTTTGAGGCCTGATTTCTGCTGACTTTGGCATCTTGTCACACTGAATGGGAACAATACCCTTCAGGGCCCTCAACACAGATCAGCAAACACATTGTTTCTGAGGCCCCTGGCAGGGTAAAGCCTCTTGTTTTTCTGAGAGAGATGTCCCAGCTTCAGAGCCATAGGGCTCATATTGGGAAAGCACACTTTATGGTACTATGTGTCTATAAAATGGGGATTATCACAGCATAAGTTGCAAAGAGCATTCCAGGTACCATATCAGAAGACCACTTAGCACCATGCTTAGCACCTGATAGCCATTCAGGAAGGTTTATGGGATAAAAATGCTTCATGGCATGATTCTAGAAAGGGGATTTCTTTGATATTATGATAATCTTATGATTTGTCTCTTTTAGCCTATCAGTGTGGTGAATTACAATGGTAAATTTTCTTGTATTGAGCCATCTTTGCATTCCTGAGAAAAACCCTACTCAATTATGATCATTATGATTTGAATTTGTATCCTCCTAAAAAGATACGTTGAAGTCCTCAACCCCAGTACATGTGAATGTCACTTTATTTGGAGAGAGTGTTCATAGATTCAGCAAATTAAGATGAGGTCATTTGAATGGTATCCTCATAAGAGGAAAATATCACGTGGAGTGCTGGGATGTCACACTCAGTAGTAGTGCACCTGCTTAACAGGCTCAGAGTCCTAGGTTTGAGCCCCTGCAGCATACATATAACAAAACAAAATACAACACAAATAACAAAACATCGTGTGAACACAGATACTGTACAGGTTTAATTCTCCATTATGCTCAATAAAGTGCATGCAACAGAAAATCCAACTCAAGCTTGTTAAAACAATTCATAGGCTTTATTAGCTCTTATGATTGAAGAAGTCTAGAGTAGGACATCAGATACTGTTTCATCAGGGCTCTGATCCTGCTCCTGTGCAGTTATCTGATCTCTGCTGTATCCTCCTATGGTGGGAAGTTCCTGTGGTTCCCATTAGTTTAGAAAAAAGTCTGCTATTTCTTTACATTTTGCTTTTAAGAGTGAGAAAATGAAAAAAATGAAAGCCAGGCACATGACTATAATCCCAGTCTCTGGAAGACTGAGGCAGGAGGATCACAAATTCAAGTTCAACTTGGGTAATTAAAAAAAAAGAGTGAGAAAACATTTCATGAAAAGATGCAAAGCAACATTCATCATTACAGAAATGCAAATTAAAACTTACCAAGAGAGATCACTTCCTGTCCACTAGGATGGTAATCACTGAAGAGATGAAGTACCACATGGTGTGTGGGGAGAGGCAGGAACCATCAGACTTGACTGGTAGGAATGTCAAATGAGGGTGCAGCTACTTTGGAAGTCACTCTGACAGTTTATTATAAATGTAAACGTAACTTGATTCTGCAATTTCACTCCTAGATATTTATGACCAAGAGAAATGAAAACAAATGTCCACCCAAAGACTTGTACAGGAATGTGCACAGCAGCATTATTCATAATAGCCAAAAAGTAGCAACAATTCAAAGGTCCATCGTCACCTGATGAGTGGATGAAAGCAACACGATCCATCCATGCAATGTACGCTTACTGAGCACTTAAAAGGAACAAAGAACTAATTTAAGCTACAGCTTGGATGAACCTTCAAAATACACAAGGAAGAGAACTCAGTCCTAAAAGACCAAGTATTGTGTGATGCCATCTGTGCCAGAAAAGGCACAGACAAACTCATGCAGACAGAAAGTAGGGTAGTGGTTGCCTGGGGCTGGGGCTGGGAATAGAGTCGACTATAAATGGATGTGAAGGATCTTACTGAGACGAGGAAAATGTTCTAAGACTATATATTGTGGTGATAGTTGCACAACTTACTAAATCTACTAGATATCATTAACTGTCTACTTAAAATGTTCAAATTTTATACTATATAAAAAGAGAAAAGAATTTCCCAAAACATCCCCAGCAAATCATGCTTGTGATTCACTGCATCATGCTGTAGCTTGAGAAATGGCATTATGGATTCTGGATTCTGGAAGGGGAAAGATTGTCGGAGGAATTGGGACTGTCATTGGTGACCTTGAAACACATGGACTGTGAGCAGGCAGCACAGCCTAAGAAGACAAGATACTGTCAGAAAGCAGGAAGGACATTGACAGGCAAGCACTTAGCTATCTCTGTTCCCTTTGGGTCTGAGGAGGGTTCCTTTGCTCAGTTCAAATGGAAATCATGAAATCAGCATGTCATCTGACAGGAGGAGGTACCCCAGCTTTCTTCATAGAAAAACAATTTCAGGACATGTAAGTGAGAAGTGCAGGCAGATTTCTTAGGCAGAGTTGGAGAGCAGGAGAAAATAGATAAAGGGACTCCAGCTTGAGGACCCAAAGGGAGCACAGCTCTAATGATCAGGCCACCCTGTTAAAGAAAGAACGGGAGTAGCTTTTGTGGCTTTGCCTGGGTGAGCTGAGAGTTTTCCACGGGGTCATGATTCGGCCTCATGTGTAATGGAATTTCCCCCCTGTAGAATGTGGATTCTGGCCTTACTCCTGGAGACATCCTAGTGCCCCCTGCTATTACAGGGCACTTGCTTTTTGCCATACAAGTAGGGGGTGAGGACAGGGTGAGTTCCATTTGTTAGCAAGGGAGTGCAGGGGGAAAAAAGAGGATGGCTCCATGTTGCTTAGTTTAGTTATGATAAGTAGATAAAAAAGCCTAAAATAAAATTGGATGGAAAGTCAAGCAAGCAGCTGGTTTAAGCATACAAATGTCAAAAAAAAAAAAAAGGTCAACTCAGGTTAACAACTAATTTGAGCCACTAAGACAAACGTATTTATTTACTTTTTTAGCCAAATTTAGAGATA